AGCTGCTCCAGGGAACGGACTCCACAAAGAGAAAATACCGGAACGCAGACACTCTACCCCTTACCGAAAACAAAACAAAAAACCCCCCCAAAAAAAAAAAACAAACAAAAACAAAAACAAAAATCCCAGCAAGTAAAAAAAGGGATTAGCTTCCAGGCAGCTCAGGTCCATGAATGTGCTCACAGGAATGGGGAAGGGATCAGAAAGCTGGGGATCAGAAAGCTGAGGCCAGGATTGTGGCAGTCCCATTTTAGATCAGTTTAGACTGCTGAAGCACCACACCCTAAGATTACTTCAGCTGAAAAAAGACGGAAAATGACCTGCATCTTTTTATCTGCATATTCCGTTCTTTGTCAAATTCTTTTTTTCACTGTATATTTTTTTCTTCTTGAAAAACTGAACTCAGAGAAATAAGCAAGAAAGTTCTTAATAGAAATCACAAAATGTTAGTTCCTGAAATGTCCTTAAGGATATTACTCACCAGAAATCTGATTTCAGTTCCTAAAACTCAAGCTGTGGTTAAACAGAGCTTTCAAAATAGTAACATTGACATTATTAGAAGGAAAAGATGGTATTTCAGAAAACCAAGCTGTGTGTAAGATGACAACAACAGAACTCCAGCAGAAGACAAACATAAAATCACAATAAAGTAGGCCAACGTATTTTGAAAAGCACCTTGTAAAAGACATAAAGCTAATACTTGGAACATTATTTATTTTATGAAAACCACACAGCTTAATAACCAAAGGGGCTTGTAAAACAAGTAAGCTGCAAATACAGGTCCAAGAATGGATGCTAAAGGCCAGCACCAAAAAGTAAGGCAGCAATTGACCTTAGCATTCACTGCAGAAGAGACTAAAAAGCTCCCTGAAAGCTTGTCTTGACAGGATATATTTAAAGACCTGCTTCTGAGACTCAAGGAAAGAGGCTTTAAAACAAGCCAAGAAAATGACCAATAAATCAACAGGATATGAATGTATTAACCCAAGAGTTATAAAGCACTGCAAAAATATAACTGGTCAACTACTAATTGTGGTATGCAAGTACAGTGCCACTGGTGTTGCTGCAGGTGGCCTGAAAGGACCAATTTCCACTCCAGGTACCATCCAGGGGCCTAATCAACAAATATGCTCGATGTCCTTACCTGAAAAACAGGTAATAATAACAACAAAGTGTGAGCTACTAGACTTGTGGCTAAAGAAGCTACTAGGAAAGTAGTGCCTCATATATATTAGCATTCTGAGAGAACAGGAGTGTGTGGGTAAATACAACAGCTAATGTAGCACACTAGGACTTTTCAAGCTCCCTCACAAAATGCTTCTGCATATTTAGTTTACTGAACAACAGAACAAAGCATTTGATGAAATTCAATGTCTGAAATAACACACGAGGAAAATAAATCTACACAGTAAATTACTTCAGTGTAGTTATTACCACTCCAAAAAAAAAAAAAACTAAAAAGAAAAGAGAGCTTGGAGTGACTATGAAACATCAGAAAGAAAACAAAATCGTAAGCATTCTTCGCTATAAATCCATGCTACCTTCGTATCACAAATACTTCCTTGCAGCTCTGGTCATCCATCTCAAATAAATAAAAATATACTTCATGAGATATGAAGTATATAGACAAAAGTAAGGAATAAAGTCATTATTTTTTCCCCATACTAAGAACTATAATATAGTCTAATATTTTCTGATTTAAAAAAAAAGGATAGTACAAAAGAGACAAATTACATAGGTTTGTAAGTCACTGATGGTGTGAAGAAAATTAATAATTCTTCCATATTGACCATTTCTGACAGAAGAAATTATCAAAGCCTAGAAACAGAAGAAAAGAGGTCTTCTTCCATGCAGTATTTCATAAAACTGAATAGTGCAGGTATGGTGGTAGGTAGGCCAAGAACACAAAAGCTGCCAGATAAAGGTTACACAAATTCATAACAGACAGGTCCTTTAGAAGGCATAAAAATCTGACAGTCCAAGATACAACCTCTGTCCCGGGGCCTCCCTGACTTGCCTGATGCTGAAAGGACACACTGTGTTTGTTTTGTTTCTGTTACACTTCCTGGAGCATCCACCACTGAACCTCATCCTCCCCAGGTTCCTGCAGTCACCAACTGCTCAGGTCTGCCCAGAACCACAAATTCACCTCAGGTGTGGGAGAGGGGGACAGAGGTGCAGCCTGGACGCCCATAGGGAAATCTGCTGAGAGATCTAAGCCAAAAAAGAAGACTTGGAGCAGTCACCACAGGCCTCCCCAGCTGGAGACAGGACACCTGACTGGGTCAGACATGACCACTGCCTCTCGCAAGAGCTCATCGGCCATTTCAATTATAAGCTTTTGTTTATCGAACAAAAGTTTGCAACTTCTTCATTGCAAAGCGAAAGCTTAGACACAAAACTGTTTGTGGAAGTTAAATAAGGCAGCAGGTTCTCCCCCATGTCAAGCTTTTCCAGAGGTCACATTCAGCTCCAATGGCTTTGGGCTCTGGCAGCGACTCTCCAAACAGAGCTATGAAGGAAAGCCATTTACATGATTTTGCCCAGAGAGGCTGTGGAGTTTCCCTCATTGGAGATATTCCAAGAACCATCTGGACACAATCCTGTCCCAGGTGCTCCATGACGACCCTGCTTGAGCAGGGAGGATGGATCAGGAGACCCACTGTGGTCCCTTCCAACTCGACCCGTTCTGTGATTATCCCGCCGTAACAGAACGCAGACTCCTGTGAGGAAAACTCTATAGAAGAACTCGAGTGTGAAGATAACGGGGTCTCACCAGCCCCCTGCAGAGAGCGGTGGCCCCCAAACGCTGCCCATCAGCGATGCCTTCAGCTAAAGGGGAAGGTCTCTCCTCACCCCACACACTACTCATCACTGAGCCCTGTTAGAGGTGGGTGTGCCCTCTGCCCCCACCCCTCGCATTACCCATCACCATAACCCCTGTAAGAGCCAGGGGTTCCCCTCTCACCACCGCATACGTTACCCCATCACTGACCCCTCTCAGAGGCGGGGGTGTCCCCCCACTCCCCCGCCCTGTCGCAGTGGTCTCTCCCTCTCTCCCTCCCTCCCTCCCCCGTGGTTGCCGTGGTCGCGCCCTGCCCTCACCATAGCGCTGCGAGCGCGGCGGGCGCCCCAGCGCCTCCAGCCCGCCCGGCCCCCACAACAACACCAGGGCCGGCACCAGCCACAGTCGGAGCCTCATGGTCCGGGCGCGGCTCCCTCCGGCACCGGCCGCCCGCTCGTTCGCATCCGCCCGAAGCAGCCTCGCACTGGGCCCGCCGCCCTCCTGGGCCCGCACCCGGAAGCGCAGCGGCTGCGCGCGGGGCATTGTGGGGGCGGGCGGAGCCGCCATCTTGGGCGGCGGGGGCGGTGCTGAGGGAGGTGCGGCCGGGGCGGGAGCGGGAGCAGCGGGAGGGGGAGGCTGAGCGGCGGCCCCGGGCAGCCCCTGAGGATCCGGGGTGAGGTCCCTCGGTGCGGTGTGGGAGGAGTCACGGCGGCCGTGCTCTCTAGCGCCGGCTGCGGTGTGAGGGCGTGAGGCGCCGAGTGCTGCCTTCACAGAATCACGGAATGGGTCAGGGTGGAAGGGACCACAGTGGGTCATCTGGTCCAACCTCCCTGCTCCAGCAGGGTCATCTTACAGCACACGGCACAAGATTGCGTCCAGATGGTTCTTGGAATATTTCCAGTGAGGGAGACTCCACAACCTCTCTGGTCAATCTGTTCCAGTATGAGGTCACTCATAGTAAAGTCCTTCCTCATGTTCAGGTGGAACTTCTGTGCATCAGTTTCTGCCCTTTGCCTCTTGTTCTATTGCTTGGCACCACTGAGAAGAGCCTGGCTCCATTCAGATACTTACAGACATCGATGGGGTTCCCTCTCAGTTATCTATTCTCAAGGCTGAACAGGCCCAGCTCTCTCAGCTTTTCCTCAGAGATGCTCCAGTCCCCAAATCATCCTCATTGCCCTCCGCTGGACCTGTTCCAGCAGCTCCATGTCTCTCCTGTACTGAGCAGACCAGAACTGGACACATCAGTCCAGATGTGGCCTCTTCAGGGATGGCTGGAAGGGGCAGGATCACCTCCCTTGACTTGCTGCCAATGCTCTTCCCACCAAGGGCACTTGCTTTCTTGGGGCATCCTCACCACGGCCCCCTCACCGGCCTCCCAGAGTGGGAACAGACCTCTGGAAAGGGAGGGGCTCTGGATTCTGCAGCCTGTCCCTGGGGAGAGCAGGGGAGGTGGATCTCCCCAGGCAGGACCCTAGCGCTCTCAGGTCCTGCACACTCAGTGGTGCCGCTCACAGCTGCGTTTGCAGTTTCTCTTCCTCTCATGCAAGTGACTCTACTGGTGACTTTACAAGGTTTTGTGTAGTTTTCACAGCACGATTGAGGATTGTGGCCTTCAGTACAAATAATAACTGATGGATCCATAGTCAACTGTTCCCAAACAGCAACACCTTATTGAGACAAAAAAACAGGGAAACATACCTGAGTTACAGCTATGCTGTAGTGCTCCAGTTAATGTTCTCCAGAATTACCTCGATCTCTTACCTTTTTACAGATGTCTCTGGCAAAGATGATTGCAAGTGATGTAGTCATCAAAAATGGAGAAAAAGCATCCCCATTGCCTATCCTGCTTAAGCTGTGCTGCTCGTTATTTAACCTGAAATACTTATATAGCATCAATAGAATTATTCCTTTTTCAATTTTTCATAAGAAGGTAAGGTCAGATATACTGCTTAAAGCAAGAGAGTGCCTCCCAGTTCTTGTCTCGAAAGATGGGAAGATTATAAGAGGCCAAACCACTGGTGAAGCTTCCAGTGGATCCACTTTGAACTTCCAACAATTTGCATCTAGCGACTCCCAAAATCAGAGGTGGTAGTGTCTTGCTTAGCAGCTCTCACTATATCTCCTCCATACATTTGTCCAGTTGACTTGATGCTCAGGAAGTTCCACCTGAACATGAGAGAGAACTTTTTTACTGTGCAGTGACCTCACACAGAAACAGATTGCCCAGAGAGGCTGTGGAGTGTCCCTCACTGGAGATATTCTAGAACCATCAGGATGCAATTCTGTGCCATGTGCTCTAGGATGACCCTGCCTGAGCAGGGAGGTATGACCAGATGACCGACTGTAGTCCCTTCCAACCTTACCCATTCTGTGATTCCCTGACCTTCTGCTACTTGTAAGCTTGTAGCATCCATAACATCCCATTGCGGGGAGTTCCGGCACGTCACTGTATATATGAACAATCACTTTCCTTGCTTTCCTGACATTTGTGACACCTTCTGATGACCCACCCCTGCTTCTGGCTTTGGAAAGTAAGAAGTAAAACAATTTTGCCTTCTCTGTGTCAGTCACCACTCTGTGGGCTCCACAAGATCCCCTTTCAGTCTGGTAAGGCTTCTCTTCCAAACTGACAAGTCCAAGTGAAATCTTGTTCTTTCCAAGGAAGTGTTTGTTGTTATTCTATGAACTTTACCATTTCTGCTATTCCTGTTTGTAGTGTGGTGGGACTGGAACTGCATATAGTGTTCCTGACAGAAGCACAGTGGGTTTATAAAATGGCATAACAATATTCCCTGCCTTGTTCTCAACATTGTCACTAAATGTTTTTAGTATTCAATGTGGTGTTGATCTCCGCTAAGCTGCCGTTGTTCTACAAATAACGTTAAACTTCCCAGCTCTCACTCCTGCAGTTTGGTGGTCAGTTCAGACACCGTTATTCCACGTGTGATGTAGGACTGTCTTTTCCCCATGTGCATAATTTTACATGTGTCTGTCTTCACCATCGTCAGTCGTTTTCCTGCCAGGCACTGAGGCCTGTGTTCAGTTGCCCCCATGTGGGTGTCCAGCACTATCCCAGATGACACAGAGGGTCTGGCTGAGGCTTCAGAGGAGCCTTGTGGGTCTCCATCAAGTCCTGTGCCAGAGCCAATAAGGTGTCTCCAATGAGTGTGGGTGATTGAGCCCCAAATAGTGAAAGGTCTTTCTGCAGTTCTCAGCCACACCTTTTCTTTCCCTCCATGAATAACACGATACCATCAGCAATCTTTGTCTTGTCACTCCTTCCCTTATTCAAATTGTTTATGAATAAGCACAGAGATGTGAAGGTGAATTAGTGGCCTCTTAATGTGAAAACTGACCATTTACTTAGTCTTTTAATTGCATTTTAATCCATGCTGGGATCTTCTCTCTTATCCCATGGTTGCTTAGTCTCCTTAAGAGCCTTTGGCAAGAAAGTCTTGAAAGTGATTCAGAAATCTCAGGAAACTGTATCTGTGCAATCCCTCTTATCCAAGTGCTTGCTGACACATTCAGAAAACTTCATACTGAGTGTATAAGGCAAGACTTCTCTTTGGAAGAACAATGTCAACAAAACCCTGTTGACCTTTCCCTGGTAAATCATATCTGTCCCTGTGTGCACTAATATATATATTTGTACCAGTCTGTGCAGAATAGGCATCAGTTTTAATGGTCTGTAGTTCCCATCTTTCCCCTAGAAACAATTCTAAGGAATAATGAAACATTTTATACAATCCACTTCTTAGATGCCAAGAAAGTTTTAAGCAAGAATTTATACCACAATTAGCATTTCAGTTACTGCATCCTTGAGATTCCTGGATGAACAGAATCTGTTGAGAATCTGTCACTGTTCATTTTGTGTATTCTTAACTCATGAACCTCTTTGCAAGTCATCAACTCATTTTGAAACAGATCAGGGAGAAGTCCAGTGATGAAGTGTTCCAGCAGCAGAACACAGACTCGGGAAGTTGTCTTGGGTTTTCCACCATGGCCTTAACATCTCCCAGCACTATTTTTGTAGCCGGTTCAGTTGATGGGTTTCAGCTCCTGGCACCTGGTACACTAAGAATATTGAAATAGTATCAGATCCTCTTGAAAATGATTTATTAATGAGCTTTATGCATTTTATGACTTCGATGTAATTCATGGGATCTATCATAATGCTCTGAATTGGAGATTTCATGGGGAGTTTTTGTGTCTTATTCCTTTGTGTGGGATTATTCCATGCTTGTGCTTAATCTTCTTACCTCTTTCTGGTCTTGGTTGGTATTTTTTAGATATAATATACCCATTCTGAAGTATATAATATATAATTTTTCTCTACCCATTTCTTGATTTGAGTGACTTTCCTATTTTTTGACCTCTGCTAAGTACAGAATTGAGGTTTCAGGTAAGTGATGCTTCACCAGCTTTCCAAAATGTCTTTCCAAATTAGTAACAAGTAAATAAACGCTCATCATTGCGTTTGGTGAAGGTTATACTTGGCATTTATAAACATTAATTTTCATTTGCCATTTTATCAGAAGCGATTTAATATTGCAGGATCTTTCTGCAAGTCTTAGAATCAACTTTAGGTGGAACTTTTTGGAATGGGTTTGTTTTATCTGAGTACTATTTATCCCTATTTTCAGGTCATATATTGGACTGCAGAGGTCCCAGTACAGATCCATTTTTTTATTGATGGATGGACTTTCCTCTCTCTCACTGTTTTGTAACTTGTGAAACAAGAAACAGAAAGCCAGGTAGAAGGTTTATTTTTCTGTTATCACTTGAATTTTCTCACTGACTAGGTTTGTTTCTTCCATTTACTTTTTATCTCACTTGATTACCGGTAAATATTTTTAGGGTTATAGACTGTGATTTGTGTTTTGACAGAGCCCATCACAATGGAGTTGTTAGATAAAGTGTTTAGACTATTGCTGTTTAATAATAACATAACAGTATATAGTAATTACGAGAAGTGTAATTGATTTAGCAATATTGTTTACTCGACACTAATAACAATAATTTATTTTGTATCAGCAGGTTAGTTTGATTGCATTTCTGGGTGTGATTTATTTTTTTTCATTTTATTTTAATTTATTTATTCAAATATATCATCTTGTGTCCAGTACAAGAGCACTTTTGGAGTGCGTTGATACTCAGTATTGATAGAAATGCATTCTTTCCTACCCTCAGGAAGGAACTTGAGCCATTTTATTAAGGTAATTAGGGACTAAACAAGCATATGATACATACATGGGATATAATTAGAAATTAACGGGAAGTAGCATGTAGTGTGTTTTGGTGAGGAATAGCACAACTACAGCACATTGAATTAAAAAAAAACCCAAACAGTATAATATACATAGCCAGTAAAATGCGTTTCCCTGTGTTAATAACAAAAGCCAGAGATGTGCAGTGACAGATAACTGGGCAGCTAACCCTGTCCAGAAGAAGGGTTTAAGAGCAAGTGTTTGATAAAAGAGGTTAATCCACTGACTAGAGTGATTCCTAAAATATGGGGTTTAGCAGTTCGCTTGGAAAGGAAGGTGAATTCTGTGGCCCCGGAGGAAGATGGAGGATTACCTTTGTTTTGTGAATGTTTGAATAGTAAATGATACCCCGAGGAAAAAGTCCTGATCTTGGTTCTGAGCTAAAGAGATAAGCAGAGCCCCTCCCCACCCATGTGGGAGAGGTAGGCTGCATAAAGCTGCATATTTTCCCATGGGAATTACGTGTGGCTTTTGAATCTATGTGGGGCGAAGCCCTGGGAAGTGTGGTGACTTATAAGAATTGTTCTTCCTTTGGGAGGAGGATGGAATGAATGAGTTCATAAGTCTCTTCCCACTCATGATCATCTGCAAAAAAAAAATCCTTAAAAGCACTTGGAAGTTTCTCAAAGTAAAATAACCTCCAAAACACAGAAAAAAAACCCCCAAAAGCAAAACATATCTCTGCTTGTGTAACACAAGGAGGGCTTTGTGCCTGTTCCATGCCATGGATCACGAGACCTAACAGCAAGACAGGTCTGCAAGAGTTAAAAGGCAGAAGACTGATCAATCTGATTAATGAGGTTAAGTCTTCTCCATCTTGCTAGTTGAGACTGTTCTGATAAATGAGATCTGGACTCCTGTGGCATACCAGTTCTGAAGTTCCTGTTAATTCCTCTCTTCCTGACCTCTTTTTTCTCCTCTGTTCTCTTCCATGGCTGTCTTCACCAAGTCATCTGACTTAGTCTCGTCTCTTTTATCTCCATAGATAATTTTTTTCCCATACAGCATTTCATTACTTCAAAGGCCTCACCCTTACTTAGCATTGTTTGGCCTATTGTCACTTTCTAAATATGTATAATAGCATTCCACATTAGCGATCCAGCAGTTTATAGTGTTAATAGTCTTTTCCCAACATTTCCCCTATATACTTAGCAAGACAGAAATTTGGCTACACCTATTGAAATCTACATATTCCAGTATTTTCTGACTGTGAGGAACTTTTCTGGTCTCCTGTGGTCTTCTGACTGATTTACCTGCTGTGCTAGTTTTGAAATCTGCTATTACTGCAATATAAAGGAAAGCAGAGAGATCAACATGAGGGAGTTTTTTAAAGGCAGAAGCAACCTGAATTTGTTCTTCATAATTGTGAGCCTGTGTTCTCCATAATTATAATAATACATTATGCTTTTATTCCCTGAAGCATAACAAAGTTAATCTTCCTAGGGAGGGAATATACTCTTGTGAAGTTACTTCCTGCCACAGTCTTTTTAAAATCCACAAAGAAATTACTTGGCCCTACTTTCTGACACAAAGTGGTCCCTGTTTCTTATGTCTACCAGGAGATGGTGCTGCCAGTCTTCCATCTCTCCCTTTCCAGTTCTTAGGAAAGGTGGCACATGTATAAATAATGAAGATACTTCTGCCATCTGACTGGTGCACTTTTGTCCTAACAGGGAAACAGAAAACACCTCTCCATATTTAAAGCTTACTACTGTCTTAAAACTGGACGTACATATTTAAGATTCACCAGATGTCAATGGAAAAACCATTCAGGAACTTTGCAGAGTTTTCAATGCTCCATGACAGGATGATGAATACAAACCACTCATCTTTATGATTTCCTGGGTAGTTTCACACATGCCTTTCTCACCTTTACAGACATCTCTGCATGCACTCTGGCAAGGTGATTCCTACTCTCACAGGCATCCCAGCCCTGTTCAGACAAAAAGAGCTTTGACATTGATTTAAATGGAAGCAAGATGCAGTTTTAAATCTCATCCTAAATCACTTTTGGTAATTGAGAGCGTTCTGTTAGCATCAATGTTAACATGTCCCGTGGCTCCTGATTCCAATGATTTAATATATGTCCTAGTGATTTCTCTTACCCACACTACAGCTGTCACAGACACTGCTTAAAGTTAACATCTCTGGTACCAATTCCTGCTTTTCAGAGGGCATCTGATATTTTTATTTGTTCTCTTTTCTCTCCTGAGAAAAAGCTTCTCTGATGCGAACTATAATAATAAAAGAGAATCCAAGTATTCAGTAAGATAAAATATACTTCATCTAGGCAATATTTTTGGTCAGACATTAGGACCAGATATTACTCCAGGAGTATTGTTAATGTAAAGGCAGCTAATGTGGAGCTTGTGGAAAATAATGAAATGTGGGACAGTCTCCAGCTGTACTATTTTGGTGTGTGAGACACAGATTGCCAGCATACTCCAGCAGCCCAAGCAAAACCTGGCAGCTGGACAACTGGATATCTCCTGTACTAAAAAAAAAATAAAATTAATTAGTAGGAATTTTAACTGATTAAATTTGCACACATTTGGATTTGGAAAGTTCTGCTGGCAATCTACCTTGTGCTGACTTCTTTGCTCCTATATCTGTGTGTATGTATATGTGTCTATGTCTATATACACATATGAACAGTCCCTGCTTAGACTTAGAACTGTACAGAGACAATAAGAGACAAATGAAATTCTTTTGGGTAAACTCTGAAATCAGTATTCAGTGGCTTCACAAATGAGGTTTATTCTCATGTGTGAGAGTTGCAAGGTAGAACTCCCGGGATTTTTTTTCCCTCACTGGCTACGTTGGCAATATGGGATTTAAGCGTAAGTGGAGGCTTAAACATGCCATGAAAAATTAATGTATTGAACGCTGTAACATCTGCATTACAAAGAAACTGAAAAAGAGTGGGCTAAAAAGAGGCTGTGCTGGAATGGATGCCTTCTAGGGGTTTTTTTGGCAAGATCTCAAATAGAGAGCAATTCATGGAATACATGGAATGTAGCATTAGAGTTTGCTTGCTGTTCCTAATTAGAGCTGTAGTATACTGCACTTGGGAATGTGGCATCACCAAGAGTTGCTTGAAAAGAGACAAATGCCTCAGCCAAGCAAGTAAGACCATGCATTTTCCTTGAGTTCCATGGTGAGAACAGGCACCCAGAGCCTCCTGCAGAATCAGATGCTCTTAAAAAAACCCCTGCTTTGAAGGGACGGTGCAGAGATTCTCCTCCTGTACAATGAGAAGTTGCATGTCTGTCTGAATGCTCCTCTGGGCACCATCATAAAGCCTCAACAGAGTGAAAAGAAAAGGACAAGATGATCTCCTGTAGTGACCTAGTGGCTTTGGAGCAGAAGGACAGGACAGAGTTACCTCTAAATTGCACCACTGGCTGAATGAACACATTCACCTCAGACCTGGCAGAATGCAGGCAGCTTTTTGCTGAGCTGGTGCAGCCCTCAATGTAACAAGCTCTCAACCTATTCAGAGGTTTCATTCTCCATACTTATTTTTGACCCTGCCAACTCAGTGGTGTCTGAGCAACATAAGTGTGAAGCATTACTGCTCCAGGCTAGCAAATGTTTCACACTCTAAGCAAGAAAACCTGGATCCAGCTTCTCACAGTTCTTTCTGAGATAGAATAGCTGAGGTGTGAGTGAGACCAAGAGAATTTATTTCTAAGTAATTTCTTTGCAAAAAAGGAAGTTCATCAAATGACTTGGGTCTATGAACACTATGTCAAAATCTTCATGTGACCAGAATTTGCACATGCCACCTATTTCCAAAAAGAAAAGGAAACCTCTGTGAGCAGCCTGCATTTGGGACAGCAGTTCACCACTGCAAAATAGGCCTGCATGTGTCTTGGACTTGCAGACGGCCTACTGATGTCAGGCTCAGGAGCACCAGCTGGCTCATTTCATCCAACAGTTGGGGTTCAGGGTACCCAGACTGGCTATCCTCATGGCAGAACTTTGATGCAGGAGCTGCCTTTGAACTGCTTAAGACCTATGTGTGATTCAAGAGTGACCTGCCCATCAACTGAGATTTCAAAACCTTTATTTTTATATGTCTTAGTATTTATATGCCTTTGATCTCTCATTTTCATGGTGCCTCATTTCTCTCCACTGCAGGGCTTTCAGTTCTGTGTGCTTAAAATGTGACTCACACAGTTGCCATTGCCCAGCCCTGCCCAGTTACACCGCTTTTGATTTGCTCACCAGCTCGATCTGATACAGGACACACAGCAGGAACGCAGAGGCAAGAGCATTTCCAAGGGACACTTCTGCTGCAGGACAGTGCTGCAGGTTCCCTTCTACAACTGTGCAGGCTCTCATCCTTCTCCTGGCTTAGCTGGAGCAGTTTGGTTGGAAGCATACTGTGTAGTGGTAGTAAAAAGCCTTGAGAGACCTGCACTGTGGATCAGCAAGTAGGCCACTGAGCTGTGTTATTCATGGAGCTGTAGCTTAGATTGCCCTGGTAACACAGCTGTGCCATCATAAGGCACCTGGGAGCACTTTGGTGATTCTGCAATCACAAATGTCAAACTAGGTCAGTAGTCTCCAAACAGTTTGGACCCCTGAAGTGTAGTCAACTCTGAAAACCTATTGTAACATGTTATTAAAATTCTGCTTAAAAATGTGTTTCCATGTGGTTCTGCAGAGCCCATAGCACTGGCTCACGGGACAGAGTAAGGAAACCACTGGCCAAAATACTTCTTCAGCTGAAACTAACTCAAGGTACCTCTACAGAAGTGGGGAGACCTCCGACTAAGTCTCTTCACCTTTCTGTGTGTGAATCAGTTTTCCAGTGGTAGACCATGGATATTGATATACATTAAATATGCAATGCAAGTGCCAAGTACTCATAGTTATCATATACCTGCTGACTTAAAGCACCAATTTAAAAGGACTGGGAAATAACCTGAAAACAAGCACAGAGCTAGACCCATTTTTAAGTGATGATCTTAGGGACAAGGTAATTTTCTTTATGAAAAGTGAGACCAAGCTCATGTTTCTTACATGTGACTGCATACTGTTATTGGTGAAGAACTGGTAGGCAGGAAGTTTTTAAGGTCTCTAAAGCAGAAAGCAGAGGCACAGAGTTTACTGCAAATCTAGGACAGAAACTCATACTTGGTTATCACTCTTCTAATATTTTTGTTCTCAAAAGAGTACTGCTTTATATTTAACCAGGGATGTTAATATGACTCTTTGTAAATTAAAGTATTTTTGCACATGAAGGAAAAGATAATAAAGGGAGTGTTTTGAGAGAATGTCTGTTCTGAGCAAGTGCCTGTTAGTTAAGATAGTAGGTAAACAGCACTGTAATCAAAGGACTCAAACTCTTTTGAAGTTGCTGAGGAAATGTGTGACAAATATCATCAAGAATGTGGTTCAAAGGACACAGTTCATATCTCTAAGACACATACAGAAGGTTTGATTCGGATCTTATGCTACTTGTATACCTGATTATATATATATATTTTTTTATATTATATATAAAATATATATCTTTATATATTCAGCTGAATCAAACTTACTCTGCTGTCAGATATCAGCAGTGGGTAACCATTCTTGCTTTCTCTGGGATGCTGAGAAAAGCTGACCCTGTGGGCTCAAGGCAAAGAAGGACCCTGAAACAGGCCATTAAAGGGGCCATGAAAGATGAGGTCAATAAGGTGACCAAGAAAAAGTTTCAGAGAAAAAAAACCTCAAACTCTCTGGTGCCATCAGAGCTTTTACTCTTGCACTTGTCCCCCTGATACCTTCTTCTCCTCTCCTTTTCCCTTTGAGCTTCACAAAAACTGTTCCAGTTTGACTAATGAAATGATGCGAGTATGGTTTGTCCTTGTATGTATTTGTAATTAAATTGCACTGAACTCTTAGGTACACTCATAGTTGATTTTGTTGTCTGGTTGGTTGGGTGTTTTTCATTTATTTGTGTTCACAAATACAGGTAACCAAAAGGGTGAAAGGTGTAAATAGTTATACAGAATCAAGGTCTACAGTTGTTGGATTTCTGGATTGTCTCCCCCAAGAGAGGTCATTGAGAAAAGTCAGACAGAAGTGGTAACACTTGTGATGGAATACCATGGGTCTCCACTTACACTGTCCATCTCAGGACAGCATTGTTTGCACCATGAGACCTCGGGACTCTTGTCCCAGTGGTCACCCTGCTTGGGTACCTTTGGCAGGAGTACAGACTGATCAGGTGTACCCAGCCTCTTCCAGCTGTATTTGCAGAGGCCTTGCTGTAAGAGTCATTTCCCAGTAGGAATTAGTAAGATAAGCAGACTGTGCCCTGCAAATTAAACCATCCTTTTGGTCAAAAGTCCATTCTTTTTTTGATAGAAACATTGCTGAAGCCAGTGTAAGCAAGGATGCTTTGCTACTATTTTTGATGCAATTATACTAAGAATAAAGAAAACATCACTTTTCAGGACCTTTTACAACACTCAAGTTATTAGAACAAAATTAAGCCAGTTGAATTTTAGTGTGTTGCTGTTGGACATGTTTTCTCATTTACCACAGCTGATACAAATCCAAGTCTTTTTCCCCTAAGAATACAGATTATTGACTTTTCTGAATATCTGAGCAGTAGTCTAAAGCATAATTCACCAAGCCTTCAGAATGCAATGGTAGTTCACCAAGAATAAAAACATCACCACTGACCATATAAACATATTTGTACTTAATGGCTTTTGCAGTAAGGGGTGTAAAATAAAAATAAGACAGTATAAAAATAAGAGAAATTAAGGTCTTGAGAGAAAAAAACAGCAACACTGCTGTTTATGTAAGATGAAATAAGTATAGTGGCTGAGTTTTTAACACAGGATAACACTAACATATTTGTTAGTGGATTAGTGAGAACAACTGACTACATTAATATTTTTAATGCTACGTAGAGTATTAAGGACAATTTAGCATTATGTGTGTTTGAAAGACACTTTGAAGCTGGAACCTGGTCTGGGAAGAGAGCTGAACCAGGTGATTTCCATAGGTCCTTCCAGCCTTAATGATTTTATGACTCAAAAGAATTATTGAAACTAAGCTGCTTTTATTAAAATATTTGCCTTGTTAGTGGCTGACAACACTGTCTAATGAGAAGAGCAATGAAGGTGTGATGATAAGCTATAAAAAAATCATAATCAGTAAAGTATGAAGCCATAAACCAGCAGCTGTACTTTATAAATGTCTGTGTGCAATTTATGCAATGTAGAAAAACAATTTAAGTATTAGGAGATGTTTTTGTAAGATCTTTATATTACTTTTCTTGCTCCTATTAATGCAAAGATACTGCATACATGGTAGTAAGTAAACCTGAGCAGTTTTTTATATTGTATGACTTTATTAGTATTTTATATTGCTGGTTTTACTGTGCAAACCTCTAGTATTTCCTATAATAACCTAAACCATATTCAAATGAACTATTTGAAAAGCTAAATTTACTTAAAGAGTAGGTATTTAATTGGCTATTCTTATCTAAGTCTACAAGAGCACCCAGAAAATAGTTTATCTCTGTCTTTAAGGATTTATACTTTTATTTCTGTTTTTCCAGACAACATGACCAGTAATTACTGTGTCAAATGTGGTTTCTAAATAGTCTTCACCTAAGATGCCGTAATTAAAGCAATGTATTTCATGCAAAAATTTAACAACATTTTTCTGTCTCTGTTTGAGTCCAGAAATCTGAGTTATGCAAAGGCAGGAGTGGCTCAGAGGACTGCAAGTTACAGCTAATGATGTGTAGTTAGTGGCATGGGGTCAGCCTAGGTCCTTGGTAACCAAAAGTTGTTAGTATCTGATTATAACTAATTTCCAACATGAAATGAGTCAGTCTTCTGCAAGCAGACATGGTAACATCTCATAAATAAAAACATATATACACATGAATACATGTAAAAATATACAATATAATGCTTATAAATAAAATATATATTTCATATACAAACACCAGCACAATTGAAACTATTTTCCCACCTTTTACTTCTCATGAATGTGGCACATTTTTAGGTTGTAAAAGAGATAATTCCAAATCCTCTTGATTTCCCAACTGAACTTAATAGGAGTCTTGCTCTAGATTGTTTCATTTTAATCAGTTAAACTTCTTTGGTGAACTAATTTTCTATGGATACTTACCAGATCATTTGTTTCTTGCATCAATCCCATATTCTCCTGTTTCCTTGATTACAGGCATCGGTACCAGGACATTTCATTCTGGAACACTATAGAAACAGCCTCCCACACAATAAATCATGGGAGAACTGAATGCAAGATTTGTCTTTTGATGCTTAAAATTTTTTTTCACCCTTAAGCCCAGCTGTGAAGGTAGAAAGAAATTGGATCATACAGAATACCGGAAAATTGTAGTAAGACATGTTTGGTTACCATCCCTGTGCTCTGCTCGGGTGTCATTTGGATTGACAGTTCTGCTAAGGATACCAAGGTTCTTTTGTAATGTTTGTCTTTTAGATATAACTCTTCTTTTTGTGCAATTTACTTTTTAGCCTTGGGAGCTTTCACTGTTGGAAAGTATTACTCCTAAAGAGACTTGATCATGCAGCTCTAATGAGTTAGAATCTGGTATCACTCACTTTCAGGCAACAGTTAACATTGTAAGACCAAAACCAGAATCCAGAGCAAACCAGACAAATAAACCTGCCCTGAGTCTGACAAATAGAGATGTTAAAAAGTCCTCATACTTGGGTTTTTGTTAGATAGCCACTTCATCCATCATAATTTGCATTGCCATGCGGAGGAGGAGTCCTCCTGGCCTCTCCTCCCAGGCATTTCTCTTCCTGTGGAACTATGCAGTTTGGGGATCAGCATGTGGATGGGGGAGGGATAAGGGAAAGGTGTCCATCCTTGTATGGGATTTTGCATTCTGGCTGCCTGATGCCAGACTAAGGGAGGCACTAGGGACAAGCAGAGGTGAGACAGAAGGTTTCAAAGGCAGTATGGATTTGTGTTGGACTAAATTGACCTTATAGCTGTGACCTCAGTGGGAACCTCCAGAGTATATATCCAGTGCAGGAACTGGTTGTCAGCATAGCAGGCACAGCCCAGGAGAACTGGAGCTTTGTACCCCAGCAATTCCCAGTTAATAAAACAGATACCACTGGCAGCGAGTATTAATCAGCATAAACTTTGGGTTGCTGTACTTTGTAAGGCTCAGACCAATACATTTCATCCTGCAATATTGTTTAAAAGCAATGTGCAGTGTTTTTAAGCCAAGGATCTTCAAATTAAGAAAGCAAGTAAACAAATTCCTAATAGCAAATAAGAGTTTTGGGAGTGGGTGGGTGCAAGTGAATATGAAAGCTGAGTGTCAAGGAAGAAAAAACAAAGAAAAATACATCAAACTATATCTACCAGTTACTTTTGTCTCAATGAAATAGGTCTCTGAGGCAATTTCCCTGGACAGCAACAATCTCTGTTCCATTTGGAAAACATGGAAAAACTTCACAAGTCAAGGAAAAAAACAAGTAGGAACAGACAGAACATATGCTGTTAAATGTAAGATTTTGAATTTTTGGTCATTCCTTCCACAAAGGGCCCTCAGTAGCCAGACATTCCTAATTTCTAAATGTTAAACTTTCTTCATTATCATAGTATTTTTCTTATTAACCAATGAGATACACATGCATTTATTTTTATTTCTTAAGAGCTTGAAGATTTTCTTCTCACTGTTTTAGAAATTGTGATAGCTTTGCACAGGAAAATACTTTAAGCAGAGGAATGCAGGGCATGGAAAACAATTGATATGCCTGTATCTTGTCCTTGTCTCTGGCTCCACAGGTGGGAGGGTGGAGAGAGCACTTCCTTTGGCCCACATGAGGAGGAAAGAGCTGATTAGCAGGGCCGATGGAATACAGGACTCGTCCAACTTGGTACATGCAGGTAGGCCTGTAAGAGACATCGACTTCAGAAGGCTCCACAAAATGTGTAGTCAATAAATCTGAGCCACAAAACAGCTTTCAACATCCTCTAACACAAAATACCTAAAGACTGAAAGCCACAACTATTAAAAAAATAAGGCACAAGAAGAGGTCAGGAGGAATTGGGCATTGCAGAAACCCTTGGTTCTGCAGTAGTAGAAAGTATGACATAAAGTTCCAGTGAGAAGCACTCTACTCCACTTTCTCTTACAGAGAAGGAAATAAAATTTGTAACAGTTCTTCCAAAATGGAACTGAGAGGCAAGCTCCTCCTGGATCCCAGTTGGCGAGATGAGCATCCATCTAGTAACTGGAGATCAGAGTTGTGAGGGATCTCAAGGGTAAACATCCACTTTCAGACAACAGTGTGGTTCTGTGTAGTTTCCATCAAAAAAGCAATAGTGTTTTATCGGTCGGTATACCCTGCTTTTTAAAGTCCTTTATGTTGTACACCCTCACCTCTCCACCTAGCTGCAGGTATTCCTAAGTGCATTCTTGTAATCCATTATCATCTTAATGCTACAGTCAGGATTCTTTGGCCTTTGGTATTTGGTTTTGTTTGTAGGTATGATGTGAATAATATTAATGGAGAATGATATAGATTGGATGCACCAAGAGGGAATAAGATTTCATGTACAAACTCTGCAGTATGAGGTTATGCTAATAAAATGTATTTCAAAGACCTATCCCATGATAATAATCTAAATGCTTCATATTCCAGATAAGATCTGACACTGCAAGACCTCAGACTACCTGGCTGAGGGAGGTCAGCCAGCAAGAAGCACCAAGTGATGGGAAAGGAAAATTTGGCAATGGTCAGGGAAGATTCTACTTGCAAAAGAAAAAGTCTCTGGATTGTGACAGCCAGGTCATGGCTGATTTACAGATAGCAGCAAAAAAGCCATCTGAAGGCCAATCCAACCAACTCTGCAGACCTCAATGCTGTGACTTGGCACAGCAAGCCCATGCCATAGGTATACAAGGTATGATAATGTAGAAGTAGTCAGCACAGTGCTGCAATTCCAAAATCTTGTAGATGAGTTGTATGAGGTATTATTAAAACAGGCCATAGACTATGCAACTGCTTCTTTGAGCGGTTCTCATATCTCACTTGTATTCACTCATCAGCTGCATCAAACAGATGTCTCATGCAGCTGAGGAAGCAGTTCTGAATTCCAGGCAGAGCAGATGAAAAGTTAGTTTTAAGGGTTTCATCTAAAAGACCAACATAATGATATAGGACTCTGTGACATTTAATTAATCAATGCTTTCAAGGTGATGGAATCAAGAATAACAGGATTTATTTGTTACACTGGGAGATATATTTTCCATATTTTTTTATCCTTGTCAGTCATGTGCTTGCATGACTAGTTGGGGAATGAGAGACAGCTCTAATGGAAAAGAGAAATTAGGTCATCTGGTCCATCCTCACTGCCAGGACATGACTGTTCCCTGCAGCGGATCACTTCCCACACAGTTATCTTTCCAGCCGTCTTTTGTAAGATGGAAATACAATTCAGAGTCCCATTTGGCTATGACTACCAGAGCTTTTGAGGACTTTTTATTTGGCCAAAAATGCTTAATGAGAGAATCAGAGCAAACAATTTTAAATAAATTTCAAAGAAAAAAAGCAAATCTCAGAATTTCATTCTCAGTAAAAACCTTTTAATAGAAAAATTGTGCAATATTTGGGATAGGAAATTGTTTCTAGACTCAATTCTACAAATTAAACAGTAGGTTTCCTGCTAAAAAGATCAAACAACTAGTTCAGTTAAGTAGTGAAGCATCCAGTACTCGAGATGCTCTGAGCAGACTGTGATCAGGAGACTCAGCCCTAGTGCTAGCTGACTGCAGGTAATCCGGCTGCCCTGATCCCCATCCTCCAGCAGAACATCTGAATGGCCAAGCACTCAGACTCTACAGAGCAGGATTGGTTACTAAGGAAAAAAAAATAGCAAACACAAATGGAAAAACAGTGATAGGACTCACACATAAGTAAATGGCAAACTACTTCCCTTTCAGCAGCTTTAGCATTACTAACTTCCACACTGCCTGCAAATATGAATAACCCCCATCTTTTACCACTACATCACCGTGCTCATTGAGTAAATTCAATAGTTTGCATTAGTTAGTGGCAATCCAAATACTTCCCTGAGGTTGGTCTCCTTTCTCAAAGGACCTGTTTGCTTCATTTTACCAGATGTGGCCACGTAGTTTGGTTTAAGGATTCACTTTCTGAACTTAGGCAGGGATTCTCCAAACCCTGCTCAGCCTTGCTATAGCATTTCCTTTGGCCAACAAATTCTCATCCTTATTCTTATGCTTTTCTACATCAGTTCTTGGAATTACATTTTTAGACCATCATCCACTAGAGAATTTTGTTTGAACTTCACCCTGCAGCAACATTCTCACCAGACAGGATTCAAGAGCATTTAAAGAACTTCAGCAGGAACCCAGCAGTTCAGAAACAAGCTCATCAGGACAAAACGAGTAATGTCTTCTCTAGATCTTCTGTGAAGAGATCTTTTGTGAAAAGACCACAGCCACTGCAAACTCATGTACAAGTGCATATGGTTGCTTTTTAAGTCTCACCAGAGGAATCATAAGATTTTCTTGGTAAAAGATGCCTTTTTTTCTTCTCCAGAGTGCTCTGCTTCAGAGTTCAGGAATAAAACAGGTTTCTCTCTATAGTTGCCTTACCAAGTCTTCAAATTAATCCACATAGCTTTTCCTTTTGTCTCCAGCAAGACTATAAAGAGATGACAGAGTTATTCCATCTCTACTATAAACCCTGAAGTCATTGCCAAGTTCTTATCATCCTCCCTATCTTTTAAAGTACATAGAGCACACTATGTTTCATTTCTTTACATAAATAATGCTTGACCTTGTGTTAATTTAAATGGGCTTTACCCCATGGTTTTAGGTAGCCATTGAAGTTACCAAAGGTTGCCCAAAAATCATCAGTCATGAAAGGGTTAGCATGCCAGGTGTGAGTTCCCAGGGACATGACTTTTCTGGATGCTTGTGTGTGTAAACTTTACTGTAATAACAATAATGATTAGATCTGCTCTCACGTGACAATTTTCCTTGGTTTTCTTGCAGTAACAGGCTTCTAGATTCCACTTGATGAGGAAAGATGTGGTTACTAACAGAAGAACACACTAAATTATAGAGCTTTTGTGGGTGTAGCAATTTCCTACTGTTAGAGAAAAATGAAACATGTTAGAATCATAGAATCATAGAATCATAGAATCGATTGGGTTGGAAAAGACCTCCGAGATCATCGAGTCCAACCCTTGGTCCAAATCCAGTCCATTTACTAGATCATGGCACTCAGT